TCCACCTTTTCTCCTGTCTTTGCGGTCAGATCGGAAAGACTGGTAGCCTTTGATCTTAAAGGCCATATCTTGTTTGAGATACGTCTCTTGTAGGCAGCATACATGTATCTTCTCTTCGTTCAAGACGTTTTCTAATTCTAATTTCTTGGTATGTACTCCCTCCGCGTTCCAGTGCATTATTTTAAAGCTAGCTGTATTTTCTGCTTTTCTGGTTCTACGGGGCATGAGGGGGAGGCTTCGAGTATTTGAAGCTGGACTCTTTCTTTTTGTCGTAGGCCGGTAAATCGAACCACGTGTACGTGAGTGGGCCTCATGGTGGAAATCAAACTTATTAGCAGATATAGAAATATTCCCTGTTGCGTTTGTGCGTGGCATCCTGATTGCTGTGGTACGCCTCCTGGCTGGTTGCCTCCGACTTCAGCACCGTGTTATGCTAGAGTAGACTGGGGTCTTACCCGTGGACTCCCATGTTTATAATGGGAGCGTGGCTCCTACGCGGTTACATTATCGGAATTAGGACACGGCCGCCGCCGTGGCTATTTTGTGGAAATAATTCCGTTATAACACCCCTAAACCACATAATGCTTGTATCCACGAACAAGAAAATATCCATCGTCAATGAATTAGTAATAATCGCACTCTGTTATCAAGAGAAAAACACCGATTAAGTGAAAATTTTAGAATAAAATCGTGTGTCGCCGCAAACACGTCCTCACGCTGCCATTTCTAAACCGGAACCTCTACGTGAGTCATTGTATTTGTTTTAAGTTATTCAAACACAGGCAGAAATTGTGCTGTGCGGTAAATATGATGCATTTTGATCAAGTTTTGAAAAAAATTAATTTAACTGTTTAAGTGAACTCAGTCAAAGTAAAATTCAGTAAACGCATGGTTTGCAGTAAATGGCAAAACAATCACTTTAGAAGGCTCCGAAGGCAAATTAAAAGGTTAGCAATATAAATGAATTGATGTCATCTCTTTGAAAGCAACCACCGGTCGATATTGTATTTGACGTGCCCACAGGGAAGTATTACGCTACACGTAACAGCACTTACACGACCATCTATTATTGTTTACACGTTGTTTCACAAGAAAGCTTTTGTTAAATAGCCACTCTAGTGTGAGTTTAGTTGTATGTAATCTTTCTACTGCCTACTCTAATATTACATCTTGTTTACTAGTATTCGCTGAACTTTTACCAAGTGGGTTACTAATAAAACTGCTCAATTTTGGTGCGTTTTAATGGTGCCGTCAAACTGTAATAAATTGACAACTCCTGTACAGATAGATAAGCAAGCATTTTTTGCACGTGGCCTTAGATTTTAAATATTTTTATGATTACATAAATTACAGTTGCACTGATGCTGCTGATTTCTTAAAGCGGCGTATTTCTCTGATCTTTCTTTCACTAAATATTTATATGCCTCTCAAAAAAGAATATACAATAATTGTTGCACGTGTGGAAATATGTGGTGAAACGTGGTGATTATTGTGATAACCTATTCCCCACTCAATGAAAATTGGCTACTCACAGGGAGACGAACGCTGTAGATGACCATTTGAGAGTGAAACACCTATGAAACACATGCATTTTGATGTTGAAAACTTCCCCCACTCAGTTTACTGTAAACATGCTGATTTGTGTGTGTGCTTTGAATGACTCCTTTTTCATAAACTAGATGTTTACATTAAGAAAGTATTCTAAAAAATAGTAAGGAAGGCGTAAAGGGCATAGAGGGCTAGACGTATATTTTTTTAGACCAATCGGCACAGAAGGTGATATGGTCAGCATCACGCTGGCCGCCTTTACTTCCTAGGACTGCACCAGGTACCCACTCAAGGCAGGGTCGACCCGGAAGCCAAAATCATTTTTTAAAAATTCCGGCTCCGCCAGTGAGCTTTCAATCAGCGGCGAGCGTCTAGCCACTTCGACTTTACATTTTTTTTTTTAAAATTATTATAAACAGGTCGCATGTTGAATTTCAACATCTTACACTGAACGGTTACTGGGTCACATATTTTTGAAGTTCCAAATGGCTTGTTAAATGGACTACAGTTAGTTAATTAGTTAATCCACCGACTCTCCTCATCGCACATCAAACCAGCCCATAAACGCTTGGATCCCATCTGTTGGATCGCATATCTCTCACAGCGTGTGGCGACTGATAGTAGTTGGTATGTGTTGATTTACTATTCTTTGACTACCTTTACGGCGTTTATGTCTGACGACCCCTCTTTTGACATTAAATTCGTGTAGTCTTTTTCAAGGTTCTTCATTAACTGTCGTCTCCTGAATCATCTACTCATCCTGCCTCACTGATAGCAGTGAAAACATCGACCTGATCCATTCCAATGCTTTGTCAGTACATTGACCTAACATAGGATATCCATTGAAAGTAAATCTCTTGTGTAGTGAATACCCTGTGTGTAATATAGAGCCTCGATTTTTGGAGAAAAAAGAACAGAACCATTTTCCCCTAATTAGAAAATTTTCGGAAAGCGAATAAAAAAATGTTTTGCTAAAGTCAGATACGCTTGATTGAAAGGTGTCGATAATGCAGCAATTCATAAATCGAAAAAACCATCCTTTAAAGATAAACACAGAAGTGGAAAACAAATGGGGCGGGCGGGGGGACAAGCATTTGGTGACAACTGACAAGATGGATGTCAAAAGAGCAAGCGGAAGACATAGACATTGATACCTGGATGACTTGGTCTAATGGTTGAAGTGGGACAAGATTCTTAGGTTTCTAAAGGAATTACAAGCCAGGATGCCCTACATCTATCCACAAGTTATATGACGGTGTCCAAGCCAAGAACGTTTAAGCAAACACTGATAAAAAATAAACATGTTTTCCGATCAGAAGACAAAATGAACATCTAACTCCCAGGATGTAGACTGGCCACAGTGACCCACCAGGAAATGAAAGGGGCGTTAAACGAGTTACGGCGAAAGCTTCAAACAATTGAGAAGACACGCTATGAAGCATTAGAACATGTAAACGGATTAGCAGTATAAAGAAAGATTCGTTTACCAGATGAGCAAACGCAACGACTAGCCCAACTCAATTTGATTGAAAAATCCCAGCCCAAAGCCAGTGTCCACATCAATAGACTTAGAAAGAATGACAGCAACACATTTCCATTTCCCAAATAACCCTGTAATTTGTGTAGAGCTACATGTTTAGCTACTGGGGTTTGCGCCAAACTGGTTAAAATGCTACCTACTTCTCAGTTGGTCGTGGATTTGATTTAGGACTCCTGCCATGTGGGATTAAACCTAATATGTTATATTTATTTTATTTGAGGTAAACATCACGCCTTTACCTTCACATGACATTACATGGTATATAATTTTATATGGATGACATGGAGCTAAGGTTAACTTTGGAGAGAACAAAACCGATTCATTTGGGTTCCAATCCAAGACGTTTGGGTCCGGAGGTAAGCATACTGCCACTACGCTACGGTATTTTTGCAGAAGTAATGTATTCTTTGTCCTGCTATTGGATCAAGATCGACACAGGCGAGAGAGTGGGGTCAACGTACTGCGCAACTCTTTCTCACTTAAATCCAAGTCCTTGCGCAAGTCATCCAATTATCATGACTACTTTGGATGAAAAGCGGTCGTCAACACTTGTGATTGACGAACAACAACAACAGTGTATTCCTACGCAATTAGCACATGGAAGATACGGTACTACATTCATATTTGCATCACCAGTCAACATCCTATTTATTTAGTCAAAATTACACCGGCAGCCTTTGCTTCACAAAATCACAGTGTGGGTTCCAGGGCTCCGTTTTGTGTGGGAAAGTAAGAATGGACCCATTACCCTCACAAAAAGGTTGTAAACTTCCTTGACAGTTAGATCCATCTGCCTGAGAGGCAAGAAAGCGACAGTATGCATATACATAAGCTACATCTGTAGAACGAACGTGCACGCGAAACTCTAGTTCTATAACAAGACCAGGAGTGAACGAAAAATCATAACTTTCTGCCAGAGTTTGCATCCGGTGTATGAAAAAAAACAAAAAACTTAGCCAAACATTTTCTGGTACACATTTTAGAAAAGGCGGGCGTGAAAGCTTATTTAAAGGCTATAATAAATACATCACACCTCGGCGCAGATTTGAACATAATATCTTCGAGCTGCCAAACAAGCGCTAATCATTGATCTACAGCGACTCTCTTATGGAGGCTCATGCAAGTAAATCATCAGTTTAACTTAATATATATGAGCTTCAAATGAGACTAGCTAATGGAATTTATTCCTAGAGTACGGATGAATTCACTTAGGATTACATGTCATCACATATTTAAGTTTTTACAATTTGTATTTAGTAAACTTGTATGTCGTTTATGAACACACCGCCCCTACCATCATCATCATCATCATCACCATCATCATCTATGTCTTCATTTTCATCACATATAGGATACATTAAAGGTTGTCAGGCCCTACCCGTTATAAACATGGCTCTTGCCTACCAAACAGACTGACATTGTGACGAAATTGTTCACGATATTTTAAAACACACGCACACAAAAACTAAACACATAACACCCTCCCCCACCCACACACATATAAAAAAGCATACATGGACTCGTACACACACCGTGAAAAACAGAAAAAATCAGCATATGTGATAACACATTCATGAAGTCAAAACAAAAGAAGAGAAACTAGAGTTACACATTTTTGTTGGGATGATATTTTCGAAAATGTAGATAAGTCCACACCTTGCAAATGCTATCAATGATAAGAAAAATATATTGTCTTCAAAATTGTAACCTACAAAATCCCTAACGTTTTCTAACATTTATATATTTCTTCAGACACGTTTATTTTTGCAGATGATAGTTGTTCGACTTAACACAGGCTACAAACTAGTTCATATAATGTGCAATCTTATAATCTAACCGTGAACTTCAAAACAAACCCTGGATGATCAGTTGTAATGTGACCATTTGATCTCTTGCTAACTACCGCACTCACCCTCTTGGTAAGTTGTGTGTCCATCATAAAGTAATGAACATGCTTCTCTGCCCTGCTTAGCTCCAGCTTGCGTGCAATCACAGCTACAACCAAAGCTGTACAACCAGCTCCCTGGGGGAAACAAAAACAGTAATATATACACCATACTATCATTGTCATCGAAACATCTACACACACAACTTACGATATAAAATAACGAAGAAGTGCATGAGGTTCACAGCAAAAACAAATTTGGCATGTTTAGTGCGAGAGAGTTGAGTTGACTCAAGAAGCAACATTACAGCAATCAAAAAATTCCCATACGCGCTCCGTCCCCATCTTCAGTAGCCAGTGCAGAGTTTTAACACCAATGGTGCCAGTAGCAGTCTTATTATAAGTCCGTCTTGCCTTTCATCTGAGCGTCGAGTATCCGCCATATTCTCTAGTCCCTACTGTGGCATCACTCTCACTAGACTGTGGTGATCAGTTTGCTGTTCTTAATTGCACATGTGCTCCCATAAGACCTTAACCACACCTGCCTAAAAATGCATCAATATCTCACCTGACTGTGCATGCCAGCCAGTCTACTGGTCATTTTCGTTTTCCAACATGCTCCGGAGAAAAAATCTATACAAGCTCTTTATCAGTGACCTCTGAATCGAGGCATGGCTGTCCTTACCTTCCTTACTTTATGATATTTTGACAGCCATGATGCGTGTGTCTCTTGTCCTCTAGCCAGAGGAAAGCTGCAGTGACGGCCACCATCTCCATTTTTTAGCTAGATGATGTGGTTAGGCTCTCCTGCACCAAACGTCGACTATTAGCTTTTGCTAAGAACCCCAGGCACTTCTTTTGCCTCTCTTTTTGCAAGAGGGCACTGTCTTTTATCTTCTTTTTCTTGGAACTCACCATCTGTACACTTTGGGTTCCTCGCATCTGAAGAAGATGCACTCCGACTTTGAATAGAAGATCTCTACATCGTCGACTTATTATAAGGAATTGGGTCTATATTTTTGTTCGCCACATTAGGGCTCCACTGCCCCCATGGGGAACTGCATATTTTTAAACAAGATATAGTTTGAGGAGGAAGTTGGGTTGTCCGCTGGCTCTAGAAAAAAAAAACATAGACACACGTGTCATGATTGTAAATAACTGAAAAATCATAATGAAAAATATGAAGACCTCCATTCTTAGTGCAGGATTACAAGCGTCACTTAGAAGTTTGTGGGTTCTGAGCATCTTCGTATTATTTTTTAGGTGTGTGGATGGACAAGCAAGCAGACTGTCTGGTTCTGCAGCACAGTATGGTGAATATGCAACTGAAATATAAGATGCAGAAACGGTCTGGATATTGACGTCGTTTTAATGTCAGCTAGGCAGGTTTTTCAATTTGGTAAGCATTCAGACGGACCAGACCACACCAGACCAGACATACCAGATCCGACCAGACTCGACCTGACTCGACCGACACGACAGACAGACAGATAGACAGATGGACAGAGTGATCTGAGAACGGACTAAGATGAAGAAGAATTACGTAGTATTAGTTACTGGGAAAAAAAAGAAGAAAAAAAAAAAGCATCAAATTTACTAAAATAGAGAGCTTTTATATGAACTCTCAGTACAACACTAAAGATATAACAAGAACACGGTGGGAAATAAACGTTCGAAAACGGCACTTAGTGGTGACGTTATAAATGTTGCAGCTATTGCTGAAATACGAGATACATAATTAAGATGAGAATATTATTGCTTCAAATTCCTTTCTTTACTTTAAATAATGTTTTCTTACCGCATTTGGAATATTTCGCAAACTAAAACGGTGCATGACCATTCATAATTCATGTACTTTTAATTTCAACGGAATATACATTTTGAAAATGTATTAAGATTTTCTGTCATTAGCTATTAATTCTCCTCTCTTTTCATTTCAATCATTGATGTTCAATCCTAGAAAGATTATGGTTTCCAACAGGCTTGTTCAATGGAAATGGGGATTTTAATTTAAAAAAAAAGGGGGGGGGGGGAGAGGGAGTGTGCTGTAGCAGAATTGAAAAAAGAAAAGAATACATTAATCGTAAGCCATGACTTTTTTTGTTACTTCCAGGGCCTCATTTGGGGTTGTGATTTGAGGGGGGAAAGAGGCGGGGGGGGGGGGGGGGGGGGGGAGAGAGAGAGAAAAAGACCGACTGTAGCTCTAGCAATCATGTAAAATGCACCTAATTAGGTACGTTTCGTTTCACGTCAGAGTGTAGAAACCAACAGTTTTCGCACAGATGAGCCACATATTTAAAAGGTAAAGAACGCTAAAAAAAAGAGCATAAATTACTCAAGATGGCAAGGTTGGATGTGTTAGGAAGAGAAGTAGTGGCGCGAAAGGGACTTCTTTTCTTCTTCATCTTCTTTTTCTTTTTCCTCTTCTTCTTCTCATTTTACTACTACCGCTACTACTACTACTACTACTATTTCTACTACTACTACTTCTACTACTACTACTACTACTACTACTACTACTACTACTACTACTACTACTACTACTACTACTACTACTACTACTACTACTACTACTACTACTACTGCGTTTTCTTCTTCGCGTTCACAGGCTGTAAACTTCGGCAGAAAGTTGTTAGTGTTCGTCCACCTCTGTACTATACACCTCATATCCGCATTGAGTCAGAATTTTTCAAATATGAACTAGCTTCGAGGTCGACCCAGCCTAATGTTAGCAAGTTCCGGAACAAGACAGTTACAGGATGGAAAAACAACCAGAACTTTCTGCCTAAGTTTACAGCTGGTTGAAGGCAGAAGAAAAAGAAGAAGAAGAAGAAGAAGAAGAAGAAGAAGAAGAAGGAGAAGAAGAAGAAGAAGAAGAAGAAGAAAAAAAAAGAAGAAGAAGAAGAAGAAGAAGAAGAAGAAGAAGAAGAAGAAGAAGAAGAAGAAGAAGAAGAAGAAGAAGAAGAAGAAGAAAAAGAAGGGGGAGGAGGGGGAGGAGCAGCAGCAGAAGAAGGAGGAGAAGCAAAAGAAGAAGAAGAAGAAGAAGAAGAAGAAGAAGAAGAAGAAGAAGAAGAAGAAGAAGAAGAAGAAGAAGAAGAAGAAGAAGAAGAAGAAGAAGAAGAAGAAAAAAGAAGGAGGAGAAGCAGAAGAATAAGAATAAGAAGAAGAAGAAGAAGAAGAAGAAGAAGAAGAAGAGAAGAAAAGAAGAAGAAGAAGAAGAAGAAGAAGAAAGAAGAAGAAGAAGAAGAAGAAGAAGAAGAGAAGAAGAAGAAAGAAGAAGAAGAAGAAGAAGAAAGAAGAAGAAGAAGAAGAAGAAGAAGAAGAAGAAAAAGAAGAAGAAGAAGAAGAAGAAAGAAGAAGAAGAAAAAAGAAGAAGAAGAAGAAGAAGAAGAAGAAGAAGAAAGAAGAAGAAGAAGAAGAAGAAGAAAGAAGAAGAAGAAGAAGAAGAAGAAGAAGAAGAAGAGAAGAAGAAGAAGAAGAAGGAAGAGAGAAGAAGAAGAAAGAAGAAGAAGAAGAAGAAGAAGAAGAAGAAGAAGAAGAAGAAGAAGAAGAAGAAGAAGAAGAAGAAGAAGAAGAAGAAGAAGAAGAAGAAGAAGAAGAAGAAGAAGAATGCGCGCAGTCTGTAGATGAATGAGCAAAGCACCAAATTCTGGAGATGGTTCTAAAGTAAGCACAGTCCGTCATGAGCAGCTATTGCAAATGTATACGATGAAGGTGTAGATTTGCGCCCTACAGAAAGGCAATACTTAACAAATGACAGTTAGTGGGATACAGCTAATACTAGTGAAATTGGCTGGGAAGTATTAGCTTCGGAGGTTAGTGCTGTCGACACAAAGAAAACATTATGATCGGGGATAGTGGGGGAAAAAAGGGGGAGGGGGGATGAGAGGGGGCAGGGCATGTTCCAGCCAAAGTAAAATTTTCTAACAGTAGCATCAGAAGCAGCAGTAGCAGCAGGCAGACATTATTTCAGCAAGACACATGTAATTGCCATATTGTAACCTGTGCCCTATAGCCTCTACCTTTGACCCCTCTAGTTTTCCAAAGCATGCTCATTTTTGGTTTCTTCTGATCATATGTCTATGCCCACAACTGATATTTTTTTTTTAGTGTTTGTTTTTCAAACGTCATTGAAAGTGATGGTATGAAATAGTAACGTTTTAGGAGCTCACTGACGTCATTTAATTATTATTTTGAAAAAAAAAAAAAAAAAAAAAAAAACTCGCGTGCAGTTACTAGCTATTCTGATTTGGAAAAGCAAGCATGGGAAATTTGTGATTTCGTGTATAACAGATCTGTAATTCAAATTATATGAAAAAAAGCTACCGTAAGAAATATAAAGTGCATGGCTGTAGGAATGCGATGTTGAAGTAAGGAAGTCCATTACTTCATTATCTCTACAAAAGCTTCGAAAAATGAGCAATAAAGTGATCATGGCATTTGAATGGATGTCTTTAAATGACACATTTCAAGTTAGATATTTGTCAGCGAGCGACGGAAAGAAAGAAAATGCTTGAACATATAAGAAGGATGGTTTGAAATGAATAAGGCAATAGTGCCTTTGTATGCATTATCTTTGTTTTTGCTATGTTAAGAAATAAGTTATGATTTTCACTATTTCTTTGGAGTGAGGTTAATAAGTTTTCTAAACCATTTTGTGATGTTGATAGTAATACTGTATCATCAGCATAACGAATTTCTGGTATTTCATGACCACCGATGTTTAGGGCATCATATTGTTCCTTGTTTATATCATCTCTTACATTTCTCATTATATTTTCGGCGTACAGGTTGAACAAATACGGTGACAGCACACATCCCTGACGGACTTCTTGCTTGATGCCAAACCAGTCTGATGTCTCTCCATCTATTTCTGACTGCTGCTTGTTGGTCTTGATAGAGCATTTTAATGAGCTGCACTATATGTGATGGAAAGCCCATATTCCTCATCATTTCCCAAAGCTTCTGATGTTGTACACAGTCAAATGCTTTTGAATAATCCACAAAACATAAGAACAGATTTACATTAAATTCTCTACACTTCTCTATTATTAAACGCATGTTGAATATATGATCTCTTGTTCCTCTTCCCTGTCTAAATCCAGCCTGAGCTACATTAATCTCTTCTTCCATTTTCTTATGCAGTCTTCTCATTATAATTTTTAGTAGAATTTTACTTGCATGACTGATCAGGGCAATAGTTCGATAGTTTGTACATAATTTCAGGTCACCCTTTTTTTGGCATTGGAATGAAGATAGTTCTCTTCCATTCTTTTGGCCAAATACCATATTTCCATATCTTTTCACATAATGCATGATAGATTTTTATGCTTTCTTCTCCTCCCGCTTTAATCAATTCAGCTGGTATCTCATCACATCCAGGTGATTTACCATTTTTCAGGCTCCTTATTGCCCATGAAATTTCATCTAATGAAGGTTCAGGTTCTGCCTCTACTGTTACTGGTTCATGTATATCATTCATATCCTCACTGTCATTCATATCATACATTCCGCTGCAGTATTCCTGCCATCTTCCTAGAATTTGTCTAGATCCTGTTAAAGTATTTCCCAACCTGTCACAAATAACATTTAACTGAGGTTGAAAATTTCTTGTCAATAACTTCATTTCCTTGAACATTTCGTAATCTCTTCCATTTTTATGATGCTGCTCTATTTTAATACAGCAATCTTGTACATACTGATTTTTATCCTTTCTTGTGTACTTTCTTATTTCTCGTGTTAAAAATTTATACTTCATCCTACTGTCATTGGTTTCTCCTTTCTTTTTCAGTTCCCTTCGTTGTTTTATTAGTTCTAACGTGTATGGTGTGATCCATGGTTTATGTTGCTTAGTCCTGGTGGGTATTAAGTCTTTAGCTGCTGTTATCAAGATATCCCTAGCTTGTACCGCCAGTTCATCGGGTGTCATTTCCTCTTGTACAGACATCAAGACCTCAAAACGGTTCTTCACTTCTACTTTGCATGCATCTGGTATTTTTGTGAGATCAAATCGAAATGGCCTTGGTCCTCTGGTAAGCTTTTTGAGTTTTAATTTCAGATCTGCTTCTAGTAACTGATGATCTGTATCGCAATCTGCACTTCGCAGGGTTTTTGCAGATGTTATGCTCGATCTCCATCTTCTTTGTATTAAAATGTAATCTATCTGATTTTTGGTAACACCGTCAGGGTATGTCCATGTGAAAAGCCTTCTAGGGTTTTGTTTATAAAGTGTGTTAGCTATTGTTAATTCATTTTCTATGCAAAATTCAATAAATTTTTCTCCTGTTTCATTTCTATTACCCAATCCAAATTTTCCTAAAACGCGTCTCTCATTTTCAGCTCTGCCTGTACCTACTTTAGCATTAAAGTCTCCCATTATTATTATTATTATATCATTCTGATTAATTTTATTTAATGTGTTTTGCAGTATGGCATAAAAATCTTCAATTTCGCCCTCCTTTGCTGTTGAAGTTGGTGCATATACCTGCATGAAAGTTATGTTTTTTGGACGGCCTTTAAGTCTGATAGTTAGGATTCTATCACTAACTGGATTATATCCCATAATAGCTTTTGCTGTTGTTTTTTCTAAACAAAATGCCACTCCGCTCTGGCCTCTTACATCTCTACCAGAATATACGAAAAAGCTTCCATATTCATTGATAAAATGTCCCTTGCCACTCCAACGATGTTCACAAATTCCTAAGATCTGAATATTTAATCTTTCAATCTCATCACATACTACTTTAAGCTTTCCTTCATACAGACTTCTCACATTCCACGTTCCTATTCGCATTCTGTTTCTTAGTCTGACACAGTGGATTTCCTTAGTAACACAGTCAGGATTAACTCCGTCATCACGATTACTAGTACTGACCCCTGTATCACACTCTTCCCCAGTGTTATCTGATCTGCCTGGCCTGGGGGTCTCGCCACCAGATCTCTTATGTGTTATGTTTTCTTTCATGATTGTTATGGATTCTTGGCAAAATTTGCAGAAGGTAGTTTGCCGTTGCTTTCCTCCTGAGCAGTGACTATACTAGTCGGTGGCCATAGCCATTGTCTCTACTGATGAGATCATCTGCCTATCGCCGCAGAGTGCAGACCATAACCAACAATACCTGTCGGCTGCTCTTACACTCCATCCACCACCTGCTTTCATGGCTTCACGTAACCCTGATTGGGGGGCTAAACGGGTACTCCACCTTGCCCAAGGGTGTCCCGTAGACTAGCGGAGAAAGGAGGCATCTTACATCTCCTTTGATAGGGGATACCCCTACCCTAATTTGATGATCACCTGTATAAAATATACATATATTTATACTTATGCACATGTTTGTCTGTGTGTATGTGTGTGTGTGTGTATATACACACACACACACACACACACACACACACATATATATATATATATATATATATATATATATATATATATATATATATATATATATAAACATACACATCCATAAACACTTATAAATGTTTGTGTGTGTTTCAAAGACGCTTTTTGTAGTGCTTTGGTGCCTTTTCAAAAACAACTTGCTACAATTCGCAGAATAATTTTAACAGCACTGCAATACAATCTTTTCAGATCACAAACAGCGCCTGTGTGATAATTTTCGTTTTCAACATCATCAAATATTTATTTTTTCTCTCTCTCTCTCATCTGAGTTGAGCTTTTGCATGGTACTTGTCATGGCATATTTTTGCCTTAGATTAAATTCAGTTTTATCTGTTGTTTTTGTTAACCTTCTTCATTTTACTCTGATATAATATTTTACACAGTTTAAATTTTTACGCTGTTTTAATCAACCGAATTATAAAACTGGCTTTTTCAAAATGTCACAGCTGGCCACATGGGTTTTTCCATGATGTCACAGTGTTAGTTTAATGAAAGCCGTTTCGCCTAAGAGCTCGTTAAAATCACATGCCTGGAATATATTTGAAACTTGTGCAAACAGGTGCTTATGTTCGCGTACTTTTGCTCCATCCACGTTAGCTAACGCATTTTTCAAATTCTCCAGCTTGCCAACTAAGTTCCTGTGTTTTGTGTGTGTGTGTCTCAATGTGTAGGAAGTTCCTCGTGTGGGTTTCGGGGTCTCATTTTTTAGCGAAAAATTATAGACCCATGCTGATTAACAAGTATTTCTGAAGCGCTGACTAATTAGGCATTTGCTTAAATCAGATGTGGTACGCAGAAATGTGCAGATGTTACAGCCAAGGTGTAAACTACAACACAACGCAGAATACGTATCTGTATACAGGAACATTAAAACTGTACACCTGTCACCACACAAACATACACACCCATGCATATATATATATATATTTATATACACACACACATAAATGTATGTATATACATTTACGTATATATATATATATATATATATATATATATATATATATATATATATATATATATATATGTGTGTGTGTGTGTGTGTGTGTATCAACGTTAAAGTTAGTTGCTTATCCCTTAAAGAAGCAACTCCAGCATTTTTTTACTGTTAAGATTTTTCTAGGCAAATTTTATGTTCAGTAATTTGCTATTCCCACTCAACGGTCAGCTCTCCGTACCACTGTCGAAACCATTGCAAGACAAACCGTCCGCACCTGGAATCTAACCCGGCACCCCGGCGTTACGAAGCTCGTTCGCAAAGCCTAAGCCACAAACGCTGTATATATATATATATATATATATATATATATATATATGTGTGTGTGTGTGTGTGTGTATGTACATGTGTGTGTGCTTCATAAATAGAGTTTCACATGGACTGTTATTCCTCCTGTCTATCGCTGGCGCTGTAAATAATGGACACTTGATAAACAGGCCGAACAGTATCTTGAGACCTTGGTGTTGGGGTTTTATAGAAGAGTCCTTAGAATTCATTTGATTGCTAAGAAGTGTAACTTAGATATTTTTAGAGAGGCAGAAGATCGAAAATAACTTAACACAAATTTAAGAAAGAGACAGTCATCATTTTTTGGTCATGTT